GTGGACAGTGAACAAAATAGATTAATTTAAAGAGAAACAGATGACAGTGTAGAGGATAGTTTTGCATTATTCAGCTCTCTGCTGACATCTTAAAGATCTAATTGTTTTGGGATACTTACAATATTTTATAATTAATTCTTTAGCTTTTTTTTTTTGTTTATTCTTACTTACATATTTAAAAAACAGGTCTCTTATCACGGGAAGTTCTTCATACAGACTTTACCTGACAAAGCCAGAGTAAATAGCATACCTAAACTGTGGCTTCTTCAGTTTGAGAGTAAAATTTGTCAAAATGGAGTTCAAAGCTCCTCCCAAAGTAAAATGTTTGAACATGTTTATTGTTGGCTTCATCATCGCTATTTATTAGAACAAGAAACTAAAATGGAAGTGCCTCCCTGAAAGAGAAGTCAAAGCTCCACAGGTGCAGGCACTCTCAGTAACAGGAGCTCAAAATCACACAAAGACTAAACTGAATGAAAAAGTCACATGTCACCCTTTTTCTGTATTTCTCCTTTAAATAGGGTCAAGGTCTTAAAAGGTTCTTATAGGGCATGGATTTCTAAACTTTCAGTTGTTATTCAGATATATTTCCAGGTCTGCCCTCAAAATGTACTTTAGCAAGACCATGTTCCTGTGCTTCTGAATATGTTATGAAAATCTTACAGAAAGAAAAGGAAAAAACAAAGCTTTCCCCATTAGACTTCTTTGGAGCAGAAGGAGAGAAAGGGGCAGTCCCATGGTCTTGGCTCCAAGACCACAGGTTGGCAGTGACACTACAAGGCACTGAATTGCTCTCTAACAAAAAGTAAAATGTATTAGACAAATGCAAAAGCATTAGACTTGTCAGTAAACAAACATCTATACATCTGGATTAGCTGATATCTAGATAACATTGAAATAGAGTAACCAGTTGGCTTTTTCAATGCTTTTTTTCCACCATTCTCTTCCTGTACTTCCATATGTTTCCTCCAACTATTGATAAATATGTTCCTCATTAGGCAGAGAGCAGATCAGCCAATTCATACCTGAGCAATTCTTCTCAAACAAGAGATTAAGTAGCTGCAAATAAAATCTAGAACTTGCCTTGGGAAAGCAGCTATTCTCTTACATCATAAGGCTTTACCTATCATTTATCTACCTTCTTAAGGGTTGTAGTATGAGAAAGTTAGCAGTGAAGAATTCACAACACAGAGAAGTACCTCCAGCTAGGAAGATCCTCAAAGTCAACAGGAGAGGTAGTGTGCTGCCACGTGTGGCACAAGCCCCACAAACTACACATAATGTTGACTGTTACTGGTGTTGTTAAAGGTGAGGTTTACATTCCTAGCAGAATCAACAGTTGCAGAAATCCAGATGGTTCTCCTTAATATTTAACATCTGTTAATATCATATCCACCTTGTTTTCATTAAGTTTAAACTTGCTTCCATTATCATCTAGGAACCCACCAGGAATGCAACAACAGACTTTCAGGAGAGCAAAACGCACATGCAGGAGTTCTGCAGTTCAGAGATGTCTTAAAGTTCCCAGCAGCATCTTAAGTTGTTACTCTGTGAGACTTTAGAAAAAAAAATCCCTCTGGAAAAAAAATAAAATCACCCACAAGGAAGAATTTGATTCTACCTGACATAAAGAAAAGCAGTCCTTTTATGTAACCTCTTACTGGCCTTTTAAAAGGGGTCATGGTTGGTGGTACCTTGGTTATCGTGTCTACTGGGTTTACACTGCAATCTAAATAACATAGTTTGGGAAACACTCACCAGAAGCAGAACTACGATTTAGAAATCATTTTAACAGGTCTGAAACTTTCATTATAAGAACTACTTCTCTGAAGAGGAACATCAATATTTCAGATACACTTTTTTTTTTTTTCCTTTTTCCACTGACTTCAGCTATTACTCAATCCAGCATTATTAAGTATTTTTTCTCAAATATATCGTTAAATATAACACTGGGTTGCAGTAACTTTCATTAGAATTTAGAACAAAATAAAGTCTACTACACCACACACTATATTAATAAATATGTATAAATTAGTTGAGAAAATTGCTTAGCAAACCTTACTTATTCATTTAGCAATAAATGGTGGATTTCAGCTCTTCATTTAGAAATTCATTTTTACACAGATTCTAAACTTTCTGAATACTTTATCGCTTTAACTTTCAACTAGGTCTATTTAGAAATTGATTTTTACACAAAATGAGTTTCCTAAAGTTTTTGAATACTTTATCACTTAAAACTCCTAAAAATCTTAACTAGGTCTGTTGCAGAGCACAATGGAATAAAATATATTTTCCTTGGCATTTGAGGGTACATATTTTAAATACTGCAGGGGATTTGGATGAATGATTTAGATTAATGTCGACTGGCAGATGACAACTCAGTTTTATTAAAACTTTTGATGAGTCAACATTTGTTTTTTCTCTGTTCTGGAGAAAGCACAAAACTTTCTGCTATGAAGACTTGAGGCAACCAGGTTCACATTCCCCTGTTTCTTCAGTAAAGCTCATGAGATCACCTCATTTGGGACAAGTTAGGACAGAACAGATGCTCAAAGGGAAATCCTTTATAAGTCAGCTCAACATCCCAGTCACCATGCTGTGGTCTCCCTACGGACAGTGTTACCACGTCTCTCAACATTATTTCCCAGATAATATTTCTGTGGATTTTTTTTTTTTTAACACAAATTAAAATTTGATGGAAATCCCTAAGATGACTTCTCTGGAACCAGGATTTTACCCTGAAGTAACAGCCACCTTCCATAGAAGTAAAATTTTCTTTGATTCTTTTGTGACTTTATTCTAGAAGATTTAAATCAAACAGTGTCTGTTCCACAATTTTACTGTACGCTTTTTCAGTTATGACCTACCCATTTCAGAATTATGTTATTCCTCCTGATTTATGTAGATTTTGACATTGGACTCTTTAGTCAAAGTCCTTATTTAAACAAACTCTATACCAAAAAGACAAAATTAAATTCCCGTACAAGTAAAAAATGTCAGACTAGGTCTTTAGTAATGGATTTAGGGATTCTTCGGGGTGAAAGACACTACTAATTTACTTCTATTACCAGACACGAGTTCATCTTACCACCATCTACCCATAAGAAAAAACACCTTTTATCCAATAAAATGGAAAAGATGGCATAGCTGATGGCGTAGCTGAGTGTGTATGAGTGGATGACATTTCTCAAAAGCAGCAAATCACTGCAGATTAAGTCATGCGCAGCAACTCAGTACAAAGGTGAATTTTTGAGAGAGAGAACGATCTGAGCCAGACAGAACGACAAAAGGTTTTGACGTAAAGTCAGATAGAGCACCACCAGGCAGACAACATCTCCCTGAAGGTAAAACCTAATCAAATTTAGCAGAAGACAAAAGGAAGCTGATACAGCAGCAGCAAGGAAACACATACTGCAGGTTTATTCATCTTCAGAGTCTGGTAGGAAGAGTGCAAATCTTTTCAGGGCCAGTCTCTGATAGTAAGTGTTTGATGTCCTTCATGTTCAGTAGAACTAGCTGCAAAGTAAGATCCTTTAAGCCTGGCATTGATATGCTGGAATCAAATTTTTGTTCTGCCCTTATAAACGTAAAAGTCACATGATGGCTCTTTTTTTGTCAATCTGGGATCAAATCTAGCTACAGTTTTAAATATTTAAGATGGGTGGTTTAAAAAAGGCATTGTGTTCTACAAGAGCTCTTTAGCCCATTCAGTCAGATATTTCAATACGTTTTCACAAAATCAGTTTTTAATGATACTTAAGAAAAAAACCCACAACCCAGTGCATATAGTTATCACATGTAATTTCACCTACCAGGAAGTACAGTTTAAGATAATCTTTTCATCCCTCTACTTCCACTAAAATCAGTGGAAATCCTTCATTTAGAGGCATAAGTATCTCCATATGGCATATACTATACCACAAAAAAGAGCTGTATTTGAGAGAAGGGGAAGCCAGTGGGATAATACCATTCTTCTCAGGTCATATATGTATAATGGAGGATAAATGGGAGAGTGGAGAAAAAAAGAAATAACTAGCAGACCAAATCCACCTCTGCACTGTACAGTGTTTTAAACTAGTTTTAAGTACAGTTACATAAATGGTTTTAAGTACATTGCTGAGAATCATTTACATGATTCCACGCTGGAATTTTTTTTTTTCCTGGGGAAAATGCTACTGGTACATCTCAAAGGCAGCTGTATTTGAAACTTCTAGGAGAAAAAGCTTGTCATAAACACAAAGGATGGCTGTTCTGACAGGAGTACACGTAACAACCTGCCCATCTCTGAGTGCGTTCCCCTTTGCTGCTGCAATCAGCATGTGCCTTTCTCCCTAATTGGACAGGTGTTTTTTACTCTCAGACCCTTCTAAAATATTAGCATTTGTCCTAGAGATGGAGCAAAACCTGCAGCTCAGATCCAGATGTCTCTGGTCTTTTGGAAAAGGCAGAAAAAAGGAGCCTGAATTGCAGAACTTGGTTATTTTTAACTCTGTTCACAGCATCTGCCTCAGTCACTGCACAGAGTAAAAATGTGTATTTGTTAGCACAGTGTTTGGTTACATGAAGTGATGCAATGCTAATTACAAGGACAAGAATATAGCTGTTTACACCTTGAATTTGCACACGAAGGATAGTTAACATTTTGCAAGGCTGCCTAAGAATCTGTAGAAAACAGGAAAAACATGAAATAAATAGTTATTTTTTGCTCCTTTTCTCAGTTTTCTATTTTCAGTCCTATTACTTCACTCTCTCTGGTGGTAAATTTGTGACATTTCATATGAACAGAACACTTGGTCTTTACAATCTGAAATATTGCACTCAGACAATTTCAAAGACAGGCTGCATACTACAGCTGTTTGCACATCAGTGTAAGACACTGTGTGGCTGCAAGAACCAAAAGCCGCTGACTCAAGGACAATATCAAAAACCCACAATTAAAAATACGCTCAAATACATAAGCAGAGAGAGCCCTGAAAAAAGACATGAAACCAGAAACTTACGTCATGACCAGTGTCTCATCTCCAGGTTCACTAAGTAATCCATCTACAAAGACTGAAGTGCTGGTAAAATTATGTGTACTCCAAGTCTGCCCTTCATCTATGCTGAACCTGTTAAAAAAGCAGAAATGGTTTCCATTTACAACTATTATTATACAAAACAGGACTCATTCATTAAAAATAATAACAAAAAATCCCCTCACAACTAAAGCCTAGGATTTACAATCGCACCATGCCTAGAAGGTATATCATATTAATGTGATCTTTTTCTCAGCAACATATCCAGGGGCTCACATCTTTATTAGAAGGTGTATAATAGATTCACGGCAACAATGGAAATTCTCAGGCAGATAAAAACTGTCAACAAACTCTCTTGCTACCTTGTATGTTAAAGAGCAAGTTAATTTACACTTCATTCTTTGTAGTGGTCTCTGAGGTAGAGACCTGTTAAACAGAGGTCAAGGAAACACGAGAGGCAAAACAGCTGAATTGCTAAAATACGTGGGAGGTGCAGTAACTGCAGCCACCAAAATGATGGCCTTTCACAGCTGCTATCATCCACTTAAAAATTTGCTAAAGATGCTGATGAATCAGCAAAAAATATTTTACCCAAAATTTATGAGTCTCTACTTCTGTCCATTTGCTCCAGGTGTATCGCATAGCGGGTTAATGATGGATTCCATTCCACCTAACCAAGTGCATAGCCTATTTCCCATTAGTGTATACAGTATTACACAAAAATTAACCAAGTCACAAGTGATAAAGATCTCTTACCTTTTTTATGCCAAAGATGAAAGTTTTGTAATTCATTACATAAGGTTACTATAGTTCGCTTCACTATCATGCAGTTTAAAGTATGATATTTTATTAAAAAATGCTTTACAGCAAACTTCTCCTGCCCAACAAAGCTGAGATGGCCATTTGCTGTATTATCACTGTATGACAGGATCTACACATACTACAGTTAATTTGTACATGAGTTGGACTCGATGATCTCCAGAGGTCCCTTCCAACCCCTAACATTCTGTGATTCTGTGAGTATCTCAGATGAACTGGGCTTCTTGCCCAGTGTTACTGTGTTACACAGCGCATAGCCCACACATAAGTCCTTTGCCCACTGGCTCCCAAAGTCTACATTATATTGCTCTTGCCAGAGCTATTCTCCAACTTCTTCATTCACTGAGGCCCTTGGAAGGGATAGAGCTTTAGTAAGTATGAATGAGCCACCCTGACTGGATGCCTAAGCAACATATGCATCACAGGCTGAGCATCGTTGCCATACACTGCCGGTACGAACCAGCAGCAGATAACAATCATGCTTAGCGTGGCTCGCACTATAGGGTTCCAGGATAACCTTTTAAGTGAAAACACCTACACCAGGAAAGCCTTTTAATCAAAAACCCCTGCAGCAATGCAAGAAAATTTATTATGATTCATGCATTATGTCGTAGTACTTTCAGCACCACGAAATACTCTTTAAGAAAACATCCACCAGAGTTTTGTTGACTTAATGAACGTTAAACTAAGCTGACTCCATCTGAATTTCACACATGATCACATTGAAATGCTCATCTTAAATTCTGAACTTTGCCTCAAATATTCAATAACTCTAAATGACTGTAGGATTACTTGAGTATTTTCAGAGGGATAGAGGTGTCTTTGATGGCCACAATAACTCCACCATGGTCCAGGTACAAGATATGATGCTCTTCTTCGAAGACCTACAAGTCAGACAAAAACAGGCCAGCTAAGCATACGTACAATATAGCAGAAATAAAACGTACAAACAAAAAAGGATTAAAAGACTTATATGTTTTATAATGTCCACACTTCAACTTGAAAAAAACATAAAAGTCAGTTTAACTCATATTTCTCACAGCTGTAAAAGAAAAGAAAGTTAAGCAGGTGAATCAGAAATTGTTCAGGTTCAAATCACAGTTAGATTAAACTGCCTAAAGTTATTTTTGCCCAAGCTTATATTTCTCACAGCATGCATTCTGCATTCCTTCCTACTATATATTACCAAGTGACCTATCACCTTCGGTATTCGCCATATTCTGTGTAGCATGCAGAATAAAATGCTTTGTAGTCTAATTCTAAGAACAATAGGAAAAGTACTGCTCTCTATGACTTTCTCACATGTTCTCCAGACTCTACAGAACTTGAAATAACTGGCACAAGCATGGTTTCTGCATTTCCAGTGTTAATAACTTATTAAATTTAAACTTTACGTAATATCATGCAGAGATTGCTTCAAATTCTTAACCAAAATACATGTAATACTGATTTAATGGTATAAAGGATTAAAAATTTCTTAAATTATTGTCATTTATTTTCCAGAGGTCATCAGCAGTATTGAAATAAATGAACAGGTTCTCTTTTTAAAATCCGAAATCTGTTTTAAGACAGTATTTACTTATATTAATAATCTGTGAAAGTTCATTTAACGTTAAGAGCAGGTGACAAAGTGAGAGTTACTACGTAACTTAGCAGTTAATAGATGAACATGCAGCCCCCTACACGCTCAAAGGTTAGCTTTATTTTGTCTTGTGAATGAAAAAACACCAACAATAATAAATGCTTCTCTTTTTTTGGTCATACTAAATGCCACATTTAAAGGTTTTATCAGCAAGACTGAACCAGAGGGAGGAAAAAGTGTCTTACAGTACATTCACAATAACTTCAAAAATAGTAAGCATTTAATGTGGGTTGAGAATTCAATCTCATCTAGTAAGAGCATATTTTATGGGAATCCTAGGGCTTCAAGTGTCTGATCAGCTTTTCAATGCTGCAATTTACAGGCAATCCCCTGATATGAGGCATCTGCAGTCCTATCTACTTGTTCTGCGCAGCTGCATATTTTAGAAGAGAATTCAGTAGAGGACAGACATTAATTTTAGATGCACTTCAAAAGGATGAAATCAGCTGGAGTCAGATAAGCAGGCAGAGTTTTGATCCTCCTCTAAACTTTGTTTGAACCTTTGCTCAAATCAAAATGAAACCATATATGCCAGGACATGAAGCCTCCAAAAGCTTCACCATCATCCTGAAGATAAAGGAAGCTGGCATCTGCATCACTTTATCCAAATTAGGCTTTCCCAGAAAAGCACCCCAGCACATACTCATGCACCACTTGAGAGCCCCAGCTTTACCACACTATAAAGCACAGCAGACACATTACAGGCATATTAATGCCATCTTTATGTCATACTATTCTTGCACATTTTCCAAGCATTTTATAACCAAAATGAATAAAATTCCTTATAGGAGCAACTCTTCTTCTTCAGAACATTGAAAAGAATGAACGATTTCATGCCTGTGGAGTTCAGCACAAAAGTAAATATTCACCTCTACTTTCTGGAAACAAACCCAAGATGAACAGTTTGCGGTGGATTTAGGCAAAGGTGGTCCTAGTGTTAGAGCTGAAATTCAAACCCAGGAACTTGAGGTATGTGTGTTCACTGTCAGCCATGACTTCTGATACATGCCTCTCCATTAACTAAAGCCAGGCAATAAATTTATTATGACCCTCACTAGTAGCCAGCCACTACAGAACTAGACTTTTAAAACCTATTTCTACGGTTTTCCTTCTCTAATTTTTCAAGCATGTGCTTCATTAACATAATGTCAACTTCTTTTTTCTCCCTCTCCTCCCTCTGCTCTAAATACTTTTTCCTGTATCTGTTCTAACAACTTCAGCAGCTATTTCAGGGTAGAGTATCTGTTGGGAGTAATTAGGAGAGCTCCGTGAAATTAATGAAAACACATTTAAACCATCCTAGATAAGTATATTCCACAAAACTTTACTCTGAAACACAGAAGCTTTGAAAGTAACCAAAAATGCTCAAAGTCACTTGCTTCTCTCACCAAGTGACATCTATTTCTAAATTCAAATCTGGAAACAGAAGTGTTCCTGCACAGAATGAGCCAGTTGGACCTTTCCAGGGCTCTGAGGCTGGGACTGCAGCCTTTGCTGTTATGCCTAAAGGTGATACCATCCACCTTTTAACATGCCTGCTGAAAAACAAGTATTCTTGCTTAAACAAAGATTTTTCTCAAATTGCTTTCGTACAAAAGCATGTGACAGAGAGAAATAATTTTCCAACAAACAAAACACTGGACTAAAACTCCAGAGATGTAGATTCAGTTCCTAAATATACAATAGAATTTCTGTTGTATACCTTATTGTCGTATACCTTATTTTTGTTGTAACCTTATTAGCTTAATTGAGCATTTTGTTATTACATTAGCTACTTTGGTAGCAGATCAAATATGAAAGGTTTTTTGTTGCCAGACCTTTCTCTTACTCGGTTTGCCCTAGTTTAAGCACAATGTTGTAACAGATGCTGTTGAAACAGCACTGACAAGAGAAATCAATGTTTGGGGTTTTTAAATAAATAAAACACAGCCATATGTAGGCAGAAGGTCATAGTATTTGACATGTACTTTGAAAAAAATGAATAAACAGGCCTCACTAGGGTAAAAATGTTTAAAAACGTTATAGTCTCAAATTGTGTTCAAAAGTAGCCCATTTCTCCCAGGACACAAGACTTATTTATCTATCTGACTCAGTATCATGGTCATTAACACACTATATGACATTGTTTCCCTGGTATAATAGACAGAGAAATCTTCCACGTAGACATAGTTTTCCCACAAGTCCACCTTAGGCTACACCACTATCATTCATTTGAGATGATCTATGCCCACGTAGCTCATGATATTGTCAAGGTCAGATTCCCTTCTCCTACAGGTCAGATCACTGCTGCTACATAGATGTTTAAGCTACTTGTCGATCAGCCTCTAAACTACTGCTATTTACAGTGCAATATTGTACAACACATGGTCAGAAATTTATTTTTTTCTTAAAACAGTACAGAGTGGAGCAATGGTTTCAAGAGATACCAACAAGTAGCCCAAGCATCACGCAACAGAAAGGCACACAAACCACTGGAGGCAGCCCAAGCGGTATTGTGGCTATTTATAATGACAATTCTCATTCTTAACTTTTCCATTTGTCACCAGTATTTACTTATTTTCACAAAACTCTCATCTGGGCATTTTTATTTTTACCTATAAACACTGTCTGTATATCCCACCACAGCAAGCATCCTTGAACTCTTATACGACTTTATCATATGCAAGATATGGAAATACGCGTTCACTTTAAGTGTATAAAACTGGTTAAGAAATTATGGAAGGCAAACGATCAGTAGATCACTGTTAATTTGAGAATGCATTAGAAAATTCAGGAACTCGAAGACTGGTCCCAGTTATGAATCACAAACTGAATTTGAGTCAATGATGTGATGCTAGTGCAAAGAAAAGAAATCTTCTGAAATAAGGTGCCACTAACATAAAGACATGAAGGGAAATAATTTCATTCTGTTTAGCACTGGTAAAATTCGTAACTTTGCATTTACTTTTACCATGCTTCAGGAGAGGGATGTCAATCAATGACCAATCAAATGAGGGTCCAATCAATGACCAACAAAAAGAAAAGGCACTTTAAAAAATTTGATCCATTAGGAAAAACAGTGAAAGTGCAAGAACAACAGCAAAAAAAGCACAGTCAGTTTATGTTATTCGGAAAAATCTATGAAAAATGGTGAAGCACCACACAGCCAGACCACAGACTCTCCTGCAGTGAATGATTAGCAAATAGATCTTGCAAACCTCCATTAGAAATATTCCCAGTATGTTAGATGTTGTCTGAGAGCACCTGGTTGAACTACATTATCTTTGACCTTCCTCCCCAATCCTATATTCCTACAAACCAATACTGCTATCATTTCAGGAAAGCTTTTAATTAATCCCTTGAACTGCCTTTTCTCCTGAGTCTTTTATATTTACTTTTCTGTGTTGGTCTGCCACTCTATGCAAGCATAGACCACTCCTAGTCTGCAGAGAGCTCTGCAACATCATCTGTGGCACATGAGAAAGGCAACAGGCACTCACTAATAACATCCACAAAGTTTCCAAGTCAGTGATTAAACCTACCCCAAGACTTGCGCAAAACATGAGCTTTGTTCTGCTTTTGCCAGCTCACAAGATTGTAATTTACTGTCTAAATAATTCCAATTTCATCTGACTGAAGCCTTGTCTTTGTTGCATGGACTTCAACAGAAAAGTTAAAGTTCTTCCTCTGGAAGAACTGTTTGATCATGAACAGTGAGGCCATAAAATACATAAAATAATTTACATTTTTATTCTGATCACAAATATTAAGATAAAGTAAGCTCTTTCAAAGGCTTCATAGCAGTTTTAATTAAAGCTAGCAGTGATGTTTTTCATTTTGACTGTCATAACGAGGAATCAGTTTGTGTTTTTAAGGCATGAATAGTCATCTTAAAGTGAAGTTGCATTACATACAATTTGCCTGAGTGTCTCACAAATGAAAAGCAGCAAAAATATGAATTTGATCTCGTTCGCTCTTTTCTTCTTTTCATCGCAGAAAAGCTAGAGAACTTTGGTAGATGATGACAAAATTAGAGAGGCCTTTGTAAAGTATTAGACAGCACAGTACTCACTGTAAATTCTGGAAGTCTTTTGCATTTAAACATCTATTTATCATATGCTAGATTTCAAGAAGGAATTTGGCATAAAAATTTATCTTTTAAACCTCAGAGGACATTATCATGACAAAAATAATGTATTTATTTTTAAAAGTCCATCTGTGGAATATTAATGGCACCCTACAATATCAATATAAGAAACTGTCTGCATTTGCCTCTGGTATTCTCAACCTCTCCAAGCCCAGTACACTAGAGAACATTTTCAAACTTACTTGTTTCCAGAAAATAACACAATTTTATTTCAGCTCAACACTAAAACACCACTTCAACTGGAATTAAATGACTTTTTGATGCACTTTTGTCCTTTGAGGATGTGCTTTCTTCTCCTCGATAGACATTATAAGGTAGATGCTAGATTATACAATGTGGTTTTGCTACATACACACAGAAAGAAAACATCCCTGTTATTATCCATTGCTGAGACAGAACGATTTACAAACAAATACATAATAAATGGACACTAGGCATTGGAAGCAAAAGACATCCAAATCTCAAATGGCATTGCAGCTACCACATGACCGTTCTTAACACTTTGGTGTTTGTAGTCCCAGAACTGATTAAATCATACTAAAGGGCATTCAAACATTTACTGTTTTTTAAAAACTCTCCTTTTTCTTTCTCAGCTTTAATGAAGAACAAACTTTAAATACCAGTTTTCAGACTGTGAAATAGAAGAATTTCTACCTTTCTACCTAAACCGTATCTTTTAACTTGGAATATTTGTAATGGAACATCTAGCCCAATTCTACTTCATCATTTGCATAGGAAGACCACTTATATTATTAAAAACAGACTATACGTTTTTTACACAAGCTAGTTATAAAATCTTTGAAGAGACGAAAATATTCGAGTTTCATCAGAACCTGACAGCCCGACCAATTTGAGTCTTTGCAAATCACCTTCTTAACTCTATCCCAGTTTCCACGTGAAATGGGGATAATAATAGCCACCTCCCTCAAAAGAGTGGGTATATAAAGGTCAGTTAAGGATTAAAAAATTCATCACATTTGGCACATTACAATTATTTCTAGGTCCTTTTGATGTTCCATCACCTACCTGACGCCATGTGTTCCCACAGTCAGATGTGATATACATCTCTTCTTTATATTCAACCAGCTGGGACCCCAGGTTACCTGTCACGAAACAGGAGGAAATAGGGGTTGCACCCACGTGAGCAAGAGAGATTGGATCTAGTCCTGACACCAAACAGACTGAGAAGTTTTCAGGTCAGAGCAAGAACTAAACCCTGATGATCAGTAGCCTTCCTTCATTTAAATCCTTTTTAAAACATATATCTACACTTCTAGCTTCTTTCTTTATATTTCTAGCTATCCATAGGTGGGAGCAATGAGGCTTAATTCGGATACTGAAATGCAGAGGCCAAACTAGCATTTTAGTTTTGTTGCTGCATGATGAAAAATTATTACAAATGAATATACATTTAAGAGATAAGACTGAAATGCCCATAAACTCAGAAGCCATACCTTAACCTTAATCACATTCTGTAAAATTATTCGTCTTGAACTGGAATTGTTAGAACAAAAAATGTTTTATCTGTAATATTTTATGAAGTGGTAGTAAAATATAGAATCTGGAGAAGCACATAACACTGAAAAGAGAGAGTAGAAGTCTGTAAATACAGAAGAATCCAAACCAGATTTGTTTGATTTACCTTAATATTAACTGGGAAGCTAATTAATATTTTGCAAAAAGCAACGAGGAGCAGCAGCTAGAAACCAGATTGCTGCAAAACAAACAGAAGTGTTAAAACAAACTTGTTGAAGATGATCTTAGCAGATGAAATCCCAAATACTGAGTTCTCCATCTTTCAACACACGGTATTTCAAATACCAAACTATTAAACAACCAGCAGTTTACAGTGTTCTAGAGGAGAAGCGGTCATAGTACATTAGTCCTTCTAAATCATATCCTCCAGGGGATTTTGACTTAAATATATAGTTTGCATGTTTTTCAGAGTAGAAAAAACATAAAAGTTATCAGATCCCCCCTAAGAAGAGACGCGGAAACAAAACACTTAAGCTTAGGATAGCAGTATGAAATTTCACTTGTGTGTTACATAAATAGTTGTTTTTAACCACCAAAACAAAACTGTTTATGCTCACTAGTCATGCTCACTAGTGCTGAAAGGTTCCTGAAAGGAATGACAGTGTTCAGTGTCCGAAATACATGCGCTATTTGGACCATCAAGATTCTATGTGCTTCACTGTTTAATGGCATAACTATATTATTTAGCCTTAAACATAGTCTAGACAGGATTAGGGTATTTATGTTGAATCAAGAAATTTATAGGATTCAGTTAATTTCATTCAACTGCATCTAATATTTCAGAAGATGTCACTGCCCCCTCTTGGATTTTCATTTTTCCCACCCACTTCATGCTCTTCAGCACAGATTTAGTTAGCCGTGTCATCTTGAAAATAGGACTTTCTTTCTGTAGGCAATGAAGAGATTTGATAAGGTCACTATATTATGGATCATAGAATCAGAACAATTCAGGTTGGAAA